TTGTTGTTCTTTTTTCCTAAACATGAAAAATTAATAATCACACCACCATATTCCTCACTCATCTCTCACAAAAGCTGGCCCCTTCTCATGGTAAAGTGACTGGTGGTACTTGGGATTTACCAGCATGTGGTCCTCCACAATATTGTCTAGGTTTTAATTAGCACTTCTAGCCCCTTTTGTGCATCTTTAACAGCCTCCTGTGTCCCAGTGATAGTTACCAGTTCTGGATCCCTGTCTTCATGGATAGGGAAAATAACACATGCTCCAGTGTCACGAGAGGTTTTGGGAACATTGCCACCATCTTTACTCATGAGGAATTTGTGATACTCTAGTTTGACATGAAGGCCCACACTATAACTCTTGGGGTTTTTTTGCTTCTGCTAGTTGCAGCAGCTTTTTCTTAGCCTTCTCAATAATTTGGGCAGGCCCCCTAATAATGACCTGAAGACGTGAGTTGTGTCTTGGGAAGTGAATGGAGATCCCTCCACATTCTTCCATGATTGAGTCAATCAAACAGTCTTTTGGATCTGCAAGATGTTATGTAGACTGGAAGGAATATAGAATTTCACCTCTGAAATGCTGCTCCTGTTTTTCTGCAGTCCAGTTATAAGCTACTTCACAGTTCTCCTGTTTTCCACTGATGACAATATTCTCTGAGTCGCTACTTGCTGATGGAAGATGAATTTTGGTGTTGGTTGCTGCAAGGATATTTTTTTATATTGACACCTCTTTTTCCAATGCTATTCTTGTGAAGCTTTTTGAATATGGGAATAGTTATGGAATACCTATTTTCTATAAGGTCTGTCACCATGTTCTCTAAGTATTTTGTGCATTCCTGTAATTCATACTTGGGCCCTCTGAGTTGGACAAGGTCACTTCTTCTGTGCTTGATCAGGAAAATTAATCATAACTTCTGGGAATATGTTATGGATATCATGAATCCATTGACCTTTCTTACCAATGATTCTGTGATGAAATCTTTGCTGATAACTAAGTCTTTGCTCTGCTCATTTTCTACACAAGCAGCCAGTCCCAGAAGTTCTCTCAGTCTGTTGGACGCCCTGAGATTCCCCTTCAATTCTGATCAAGTTATTCTTTTCACTTTCAGGAGGGATTAGCACAGAAACTTTATTCTTCTCTTTAATTTGGTTTATGATGACACCATTCTTCCCTATCATATCTGTGAACCTTACAGTCAATACTGATCTCTTCATAATTCATCTTCTCAGTCAGATCTTTGACATGACCTCAAGTTGTTCTCGAATATAATTCACATCTCCTCCAGGTCCCTTTATGGTAATTTTATCATCTGTAGTAAACTCTACACAAACCTTTGGTGTGTTCTGAGTTATTCTGGACATATTTTGACCATTTTCAGCAATAATAAATCTGTGAATCCAGGAAGGTGCAGAAATTGAGGAAATAGTGTAACCCTTGACATTTGAACAGACCTCACTAAATGCCCTCCCTCAGCTTTCAGGCTTACCTTTGAGTGTCTCAGAATCTGACATGCTCTCCAAGGGTGAGATTGCTATTGAAACTCCAGTTCTTTCCAGGATTTCTTGCAAAGAATTGCTCTTAGGCCCTGTAGTACACTTGTGTTGACATTTCATCTCCACAGCTGTGGCTCTTGTTTTCTTTTTGGTATCCTCAAAAAACTTCTTTACAGGAACCACAGATTTAGCTTTTGCTTCTTTCCAGTAAACACTGCCTCTGTGTGGTTGGCACTGTTGTTGTTGTTGTTGTTATTTGCCATCGAGTCGGCCCCAACTCATAGCGACCCTTCCTTGGGTTTCCGAGGCAGTATCACTACAGAAGTAGGAATGCCCAACCTTCCTTCCGAGGAGTGGCTGGTGGGTTTGAACCACCAGCCTTCTGGTTAGCAGTCAAGTGCCTTAGGCACTATGCTACCAGAGCTCCTTATATGTATGTGTGTCTCTTCTTCCTGCATGGTTTGGCAACAGTCCTACTGTATGACCATGAAACAAAGGCGTAACAGAACTTTTCCATTTATAGCCTCTCTACAGCACACTTGTCTTGTTCAGCAGACGTAAGAAAAACTTCATGTGGATCTTCCTTCATACTTTGTTTGGCGCCAGCAATCGTGATGCAGTTTTGGTGGTTATCAGTACTAGCATCTGCATGTTGGTAGCACTTTGCTCCAAGGCTTGCAGTTTTTCCCCCGTCTTGCCTTTGGGGATGGAATCTGTAGTTCAAATTTCTTCCCGAAACTGGGAACAAATCTTCTGAGCTTCTCTAACAGTTGCTGGTTTACCAGAGACTCCAATGTAGAAACCTTGGTCTTTGACCAAAGTTAATTGTTCTAGATTGGCACCAGTCCTTTGCATGATATCTTGACAGAATTTTGTCCATCTTCCTTCACCAAACTGATTCAAATACTTTCTCTCCTCCAGAGGCACATAAACAATTTGAGAAATGATTGAGTTTGAACTGCTAGGTTAACTATTACTGCTCAAGGATCCAGGAGGTTTCTGAGCATTTTCCAAAAAAAAGTTATTTTCTCCAGGAGTTGAGGGACTTTGGCCCTGTAGACAGATAAACCCAGTTCCTCTTCTGAGCTTAATAAAGCAGTAACATAATTTACTTTCTGCATGTACTTGCTTTGGTGCTCAGCAATGTTGTTTTCATTCAGATATTCTTCAGAGCTCATGGTTGATTCTCAATTAGATGTAACCCAGAGATGCTGTAGCCGAATGGTCAGCAGCTGGAAAATTTCTTGCATATTACACAGTGTTCCGGTTACCTAGTGCCATTCTGACAAGAATATACCACAAATGGGTTGGCCTTAACAAACAGGAGTTTATTCTTAAAATTTGGAGGCTTTAAGTCCAAGTCCAAAGTGCCAGGCTCTAGGGACTGGGTGAAAGCCCCTCAACCTTGGGGTCCAGCTCTGCCTCCTGCTCCCAGCCCACTGGAGCTACAGGCATTTCTTCACTCAGACAGCTGCTGGCTGCTGAGGCTGAGAAGCCCCAAGGTCGACAAGTAAAACGGCACAGTCCCGATGTTACCAAACCACACGGCAGACCGTTAACTTAAGTCCGTTGTAAACCCCAAGGTCAGCAGAGCATAGCAGGCTGCTGAGCAACAACACCGCTGCATGCAGGGTCCAAGCGTGCCAAAGGCTAGAGACCATTCCCAAGGCTTCTCCTTATATACAGGAAGCAGACCACATTCCCAAATGCAGCTACTCAGGTGCTTGTGGTAGATCCCACCATGGAGTTGATTGCCAGTCTCATCATGGGGAAAAACTACCACCGGCTGCCCAGCTACTCAACCAGGCCCAGCCAAGATGACACTCAAACATAACCATCACGCTCAGCTTTGATCGTGTGTGCGTTAGTCAAGGTTTTGTGTGTGTGTTAGTGGGGGGGGGGAGCTGGGAGGATGGGTTATGTTTTCTTATCCAGTTTGCAACTCTTTGTCTCTTGAGTAGTGCATTTAATCCATTTACATTCAATATAATTATCAACAAGTATATATTTGTTGCTGTCATTTTGTTATGTGTTTTTTTCATGGTATTGCTGGTTTCTTTGTTCCGCATAATTGTCTGTGCTGAGCTCATGTTTATGAATCATGTTATTATTTCCTTCATTGTTTGAGTTTTAGTATTTGCAAAATATTTGTGCTTATCCTCTCTTTTATTTTGATGTGAAGGTTTATTATTTTTGTTTGAGGTTACCTGTGATATATTATTTTCTTCCCAAGTTTAAAACAGTCTATCTTGCAGTTGTCTTGACTTCTTCACCATTTATAAGTTTGGCACCTACACTGTTTATTCCCTCTTTCTGGTTTGTAGATGTCCTTGTTTACCAATTGGTATCTTGTATTCCCTGTTCACATTATTGTAAGCTTATTTTACTTTGGATAGTTCTATAACTCTGTTGGTTTCTTGATTATGTCATCATGTATGTTAATCATTGGTGGTTGTTTGCTATTGGTTCTCTGTCCACATGACTCCCTTTAGCATCTCTCATAAGGTTGTTCTGGTTTTAACAAATGCCCTTAATTTCTGCTATTTGGAAATGTCCTGATTTTACCATCATATTTGAAGGACGCTTTTCCTGGGTATATAATTGTTTGTTGGGAATTTTTATATTTTAAGTCTTCTAAATTCATGATACCTTGCTGTTACTTTCAGTGTTTGTTTGTTCTTTTTTTTCTTCCAAGGATCAGAAGTCCTCCACTGGATAAAAATTTCTCTATCCCACCAAAACAGTCTAGGGTAGAAGTCTATTTCTCTTGGTTGGAGGTTCAATCCCCACTCCTACCCTTTGTAGGTAGCCTATTTCATATTAGGTATTTATAGAGTTGCCAGACTTAATTAGGTATAGTACCACTCAGGCTAATTTAAGTGTTATTCTAAAATTTAGAGATTATAGAGAATTGAGCTCTGGTGGTGTAGTGCCTAAAGCGCTTGACTGCTAACCAGAAGGCTGGCAGTTCAAACCTACCAGCCACTCCTCGGAAGGAAGGTTGGGCAATCTATTTCCGTAGTGATACTGCCTTGGAAACTGAAGGAGGGGTCGCTATGAGTCGGGGCCAACTCGACGGCACATAACAACAACAGAGAATTTAGAAGGCGTGAATTTTACTTTGAACAGCACCCTCTGCTGATTTAGAATACTCTCCGTATACTTGGAGGACAGTGATAATTGCTTTGTGTTCATTAGGAGTCCCTGAGTGGTACAGTTAACACGCGTAGCTGCTGCTAACGGAACAAGGAGGTGGCATCTTCTGACCTCTTCTAACTGCACAAGAGGAAAACAATCACCATCAATAGCCCAAGGCCTGTTCTCATGAGGCCAGACATGCTGCCACCCTCCAGCCCTCTTACCAACCTTGACACTAACTGTCCCTCCCACTGGTTTGATAATTTGCTGCAGTGGCCACACAGAACTCACAGATTATAGGGTTTATTAGGGAAGCAACACGTTTCTCCTCAGTGCATCTCTCTGAGAAGTGCATCTCAGTAGCACATCTTAGCTGGCAATGAGAGAATCCTTGTACCTCTAGAGTGGCAAAACCAACCAGTCCCAATATCAGGATTCTACATGCCTGAGAGAGTGAACTTCCCAGAAGATTTGTGCTGCTTCAAGTGAAATACCCCAGGTGGATAACTTTAACAAACAGGAGTTTAAATTGCATGATCCCACCCAGTAATCCAGTGGGATTTACAAAGACTATGGGTAGAAAAGCCATACCATATAATTTACTACACCACAGCTACATAACGCATTAGAGGTTTTGGTCCACCAAGAGGCACCTTGGAAGACAGGCCTGGTGATGTACTTCCAAAAAATAGCCTTTGAAAACTCTATGGAACACACACACAGGGTCACCTTTGAGTTGAAGACAACTAGTAGTTTTCATTATGCTAAACAATCATTTTTCAATCCAGTGAAATTCCAGCCTAGTAACTATTTTTAGTCTTTCATTATATTTCTTGCTCTTTGAATTGCCTTTAGAGTTGGTCTACACTCTTTTTAAAGCATGGTCAATCCAAATTTAAAACAACACATTAGAATGCATTAAAAACATAATTGTCTAAATATAAAAGGAAACATTTCCAAGGTATATTTAATAGAAAATGGGACTATGTGAACATTTTTCTCCCAAGTAATAAAAGGAAATTTCTTATACTTTCTGTATTTCCAATTCCACAAGAAACAACCTATCAAGTAGTGTGGTGGTGATGTTAGGTGCTGTTGAGTCAGCTCTGACTCATACCGACCCTATGTACAACAGTACAAAACATTGCGTGGTCCTGTGCCAACCTAACTATCCTTGCTGTGCCTGAGCCCAATGATGCAGCCACTGTGTCAGTCCATTTTGTGGAAGGCCTTCCCCATTTTTGCTGACCCTGCACTTTACCAAGCATGATATCCTTCTCCAGGGTACGGTCCCTTCTGAAAACATGACCAAAGTAAATGAAACAAAGTCTGACCGTTCTTGTGTCCAAGGAGCATTCCGACTGCATTTCTTTCAGGACAGATTGATTTGTTGTTCTGATAGTCCATGGTACTTACAGTATTCTTCACCAACACCACAACTCAAAGCATTAGCTCTTCTTTGGTCTTCCTTACTTATTGTCCAGCTTTCATATGCATACGAAGTGATTGAAAACACCATGGCTTGGGGTAGGTGCACCTTAGTCTTCAAAGTGACATCTTTGCTCTTCAGCAAGTTTTTTTGTTTCCCCCCAGAGGTTTTTTTGTAGCAGATTTGCCCAATGCAGTATATCATCTGATGTCTTGATTGCTGCTTCCATTGGTGTTGATTGTAGAACCAAGTAATTTGAAGTGTTTGACAACTTCAGTATTTTCTCCATTTGTCATGATGCTGCTTGTTGATCCAGTTGTGAGGATGTTTGTTTTCTTTATATTGAGGTGTAAGCCATACTGCAGACTGTAGTCTTCAGTCTCCATTAGTAAGTGCTTCAGGTCATCCTCACTTTCAGCAAGTAAAGTTGTGTCATCTTCATACTGCAGATTGTTGATGAACCTTGCTCCAATCCTGATGCCACATTCTTTTTCATATAATCCAACTTCTCAGATGATTTGCTCAGCATACACATTGGATAAGTATGGCGAAAGGATGTAACCCTGACACACTCCCTTCTTGATTTTACACCATGCAGTATCTCCTTGTTCTGTTTGAATGACAGACAGCCCTCCTGGTCTATGTACAGCTTCCTCATGAGTACAATTAAGTGCTCTGGAATTCCCATTCTTCTTAATGTTATCCATAATTTGTTATGATCCATATAATTGAATGCTTTTGCATAGTCAATAAAACACAAGTAAACATCTTTTGGGTATTCTTTGCTTTCAGCCAAGATCCATCTGACATCAGCCATGATATCCCTTATTCCACGTCCTCTTCTGAATCCAGCTTGCATTTCTGAAAGTTGTCTGTCAATGTACTGCTGTAGCTGGTTTTGAATTATCTTCAATAAGATCTTACTTGTATGTGATATTAATGATATTGTTTGATAATTTTCACATTCTTTCTTTGAATTGGGTACAAATATGGATCTCTTCCAGTCAGTTGGCCAGGTAACTGTATTCTAAATTTCTTGGTATAGACGAGCAGTTGCCTCTAGCATGGCATCTGTTCGTTGAAACATCTCAGTGGGTATTCCAATAATTCCTGGACCTTGTCTTTCACTAATTCCTTCAGTGCAGCTTTGACTTCTTCCTTCAATACCATTGGTTTTTGATCATATGCCACCTCCTGAAATGGACAAACATTGACCAGTTCTATTTGGTACAGTGTCTCTGTGTATTCCTGCCATCTTTT